TCCCTCTGTGCTTCAATGTAGCTGTGATGTGCCTGGGGAGGGCAACTCCAATCTTTGTTCCACCCTCCTCCCATGCAAACACACACAATACATAAACTGTAGTTTAATTACTGGTATTTGCTTTCATTTTAAAGGTTTACTGGGAGTTATCTCACATGCTACCTCGTTTCAACGATACTGTGCTCAGCTTTTGATAACAGCAGTTGCTGTACCAATAAAAATAAATCCAACTAAGCAATTATCGTAACACAATTATGGTCTAATGAGTACTTGCCAGAGTAAAGGCAAACAGAAGGATGAAGAGGTGCAGCCTAGAAGAACGTGAAGACCTACAAACAACATTATTAAGTATGCCTATAGCAGGGAAAAATACCCAAGCAGGGAAGAACCACTACATGAGAATTAAATGTTAGAGGCACTTGCTGCCAAGAGTAAGCAGTTCATTCACAGCAGTCAAACTACACTTTAAAATGACACCAGCAGAGCACGAAACTAAGAATCAGGTACTCCCATGTCCTCACACCTGGTTGCAGTAGGGCACGTTTTGTCTTTCTGCAAACAAAGCCTTGTTCCAGTCACGCTGTGGGACTGATTCATGTTATTGTTTGCACAGTCTGACAGTATGCTTAAAGCACTTTAAATAGATCAAAAAATACTAATACTTCTGTGGTTTGCATATTTTACCAACAGAAGAAATTCTAGTTAATAACTTCTATCTGCAGTAATCTGAAAATAAAACATCCTGGAGGTGGTTCTTATCCCTGCACCTCACCTGCTCTGCTCATCTGCTGAAAAAGGAACAGGGAAAGGATTTCTTTCCCTTCCCACTCCTAAGCTGTTGAGACGGGGGGAAAAACATGGTGCAAACAGAGAGGAGACGTGTTGCCATGCCCTCCCCTCATTGCTGCCTTGCTGCCACTGTAACTGACAGTCCAACGACACGATCAGCTGAACTCATCTCCTTTCTTAACCCTCCAAAATTTTCACTTAACTCAAACTCAAGAAAATAGCTGTAAATGACAAAGTGTTAAAATCAAAATGAATGCATGTGCACTGTTTTAGTATCATACCAGATACTATTATTTGCCAGACAGAATTTCCTCAATGATGAAACTCTGGATATCTGACACTCCTGAAACATCATCTGTGCAGCAAAAGCCATATCCAGCAGAGCTGTACTCCTGTGGTAACTGCACAGCAGTTGCTGAGACTTCATTTCAAGTGTGCAGCGAAAGCAAAGGTAATACCATGAGATCATGTGATGACCTGAGTGCATTGACTTGATGGTCTCCAGCTCATTCTCATTGATTAATGAGTTAGTTTTAACTTTAGCTGCAAGCCAAAAAGGGAAAGGGGGGGAAAAAACCTGTACAAAACACAACCATCACTCTCTTCTGCCCAAGCTAGTACAGAGGTACGAAATCCCTATCTATGATGTCTCTTACGTGCACAAACAGGATTTTAATTTCCTGAAGTTCACAAAAATCATTCTGAACTGTTCAAAAAAGCTTAAAAAGAAACCAAGAGAAAACCATGCTTGCATTACTCCACTTTCTCCAGTTTTCACAGAAATCTAAAGTAGGAATAAGACTGTGGTCAGCAAGAAAACTACATCAATACATACACATCCTTCTTCTACATCAGACTCACTTTGCAAAGTAAACCTATCACAGGGGAAAGCAAAACCCTCTGGGTTGTTCAGAGTCAACACTGACAGCCAGAGCATTGAACCTGAACGCTAAGGAGATGTGTGCAAAGTCATTCTTAACGTCTATTCTTCTGAAAGAACAGATTTAACTAAGATACTCTGACAGCCTCACACGTTCAAAATGCAGTTATCAGCCTGCTATCCTCAGCAAAAGCAAGGCAGAAGAAATACTGATAAAATCTTAAGAGATTCTGTGGCTCCTTTTACTTGTAGCCCAAATTTCCTATTTTTGGGGAAACGCAGATCACATTTGCAAATCTTCTATAGAAGCATGTGAAATTGATTTCATTTAAGAGGGAAAAAGTGCCCAAGATTGTCACATAGTTAATACCTGCTTCAAGCACAAAGGCCTTAAAAAACAAACATAAGCAATGCTCCCAAGGCAGGAATCTCAAACTGTCAGGAAGGTATTTTCTTGCCTCATCTGTCAGTGTGTCTTACAAAAAAAGTTTGCTCAGATAAGCTCAGATAACTGCAGAGCAGTTGAGACATAATGTGTATCTCAGTTTTAATCTCACATTCTTAAGACTAACATCTGATAACCAAAACCACTCTGCACTAAGTTGCATACACAAATACATATAAATCTGCACGCTTTCCTCTTACATCAGAACGCCACAGAACCTGGGACATAAGTTGCCTAGCTTATACATCTCATCCCCCGGGAAAAACAAAATGCATCCATTATTTTAAAGTATAGTAAGCACAGAATATGATGCAACTACAAGTTCTAAAAACATAATAAATTTAAACAAAGAGATTCTAGCACCTCCTACATGTAGCAACCTAACCACAGTGTGTCACTCCACCCAGCTGCAGCTCTGCAGGGGCACAGCAGCAAACCACTGCAGGGTAGGAAAGGCCAACTCAGCTGCATGTCCCAGTAAATGGCATGCTGACTAACAGAAAGGTGAAATCCTTCCTTCGTCAGTACAAAAGCTAAAGTAATCTGTAGAAATTAATTTATACTGCCATCAAAAGAATCCCTAAAATTTCAAGACTTCAGAAAAGGAGGGCTCGCTCCTGTTTCAATAGGGCATCAGTCCAAACACGTACAGCAAGCAGATCAGATGTATGTGGCAGCAGATCCTCACAGTACCAAATTCGGTACCTACTTCTGTCATTGCTGATCCACAAAATGCTCATGTTCTTGGGGAGGAGGAAAAAAAAATACAACAAAAAGAAACACAGCCATGAAAAACTGGAGGAAAAGCACTGTACAGAAAACAAGTCTTTGACCACAACCTTAAGAAAAAAAAAAAAAAATGAATAAATGACAATGCATGATGATCAAAACATTTCAAAGAGAGTGCAGACAGCAGACGACAGACTGGTGCAAAGGGTAACAGGTGGAAATTCCCATCAGCTCTAGATCACCAGACTCCTTTTTTCACACCCCTACCACTAGCAGAAAAGAAAAAACAAGTGCAGGCTCAGGAAGGAGAGACAAGTGAAGTCCTTTTATAAGCTCTGTGACTTATATAAGCTCTATGGCTCTGTGAAAAAGAAGTTGGCAATGACTGCTACGACTGTTTTCTGTTCTTCATCTCATAGAAGCTGAAGTGATACTTTGGCATAAATAACCATCTTTGGTTATTTGAATCAGTCAGCTATCCACCATCAGAATTATATACCAGGTACCAGTGGTTCAGCTTAAAAAAAGGTGATCACATACTTTTTGAAAATTGTTTTGTACTAATCTGACTCTGAAACCTCAAGAGAACTGGTTCTTACCCTCTGCTACTGCTATGACTTAGGCCTTGCTGAAGAAATTTTAATTTCTCACTTTCCTTTTTAATATATGCTCATGAAATTGCTCACTCTCATCATAACCCAACCTCATCATGCCACACGCCAAAAACGAAGCAGCTTCAGGCAGAGCAGATTTCCTGAATGGAAGAATTCAGAAGAAGCCAGCAGCAGAAGGCTCTGGTTTGGTAGCACACCTTGTCCACACACTGCTCTGTGCTGAAGCAGTTCCCCCCTTCAGACTCAGGAGATATGGTGCTGTGTATTCAAATACTCAGGAGATGAAACATGAAGAAGAAAAAAAAGACTCAGGATGATTTAAAATATCGCCAGGCACATTTCTGAACAACGGAAGGCAGAAACATTCACATCCCTGTCCTTCTCCACATCGCTGTTTCCATGATGCACCTTTTCTCCCACCCCTCCCCAAGAGTTCCCCTGAAATCTCAATGAAATAGAGCACACCATAATATTCACCTAGAAGCTGACACAGAACACTGCAAAATGCTGGCCAACAGTAACTGGTTCTCATCCCCTCCTCAATTCCACTGAATGCAGAATATAGTGGTAAAGCCTCCTCAGCTGCACTGCGATTCTGTTCTGCTGAAGGAACCCCCTCTGAGCAGCAACACCAGGAGTGTTACCACTGCACTGCTAAGTTTTAAAAGCAAAATTACAGAAAATAATCAGTCAGCAAGAGAGTCTCTTAGTACCATAAAACATCCCAAGTTTCTAAAGCCATATTTCTCTAGTAGATGAGAATATTCTCCATTTCCTACAGGCCAAACTTTTAATTAGGACTGAATAAAGACATAAAGTTGAACCCACTGACAGACTAAGCAAAGGCAGAAGAGGCAAACCTCTTTAGCCTTACACAGTTTTCACAGTCCAGGACAGGAAGGACTGTCTGTTTCAGAAGGACTTTGGCTAAATGACACTCTTAATGATTAATAGTCATTAACAAACTGCTTGCTGCAACGTTAAGAATGTAGCATTAAATGAAATCCACTGAAGCCTGGCAAAGGAAAATCACTCTGCCAGAATTAGTTTCTGCTTTTTCCTTCTCATTCAAAGTAGTTTTAGTTTTGCTCTTGTAAACTCAACATTCATGAGTTGCTCACGCATATCAAGTTCCTCAAATTTCAGAAGCACTGTGCGTAATTTTAAAATTGGTGCCCTCACGCACGTTTTGTTACATTATGGTTAATTCCGTTAGTTCTGTTCCAAAGCACTCAAACATCATTCAGATTCTCAGGCTAAAAACAAAATTCAAATAAAAACCCAGCCACTAAAATAGGTCTAAGAAATGTACAAAGTGAGCATAGTTCATCTGAAGCAAAAGTAAAAAGGAAGTGACCAAAGACTCTTCTACTGTCTTGCTTTCACCCAGATTATCACCTACTACAACTCTCAGCTTGTGGAATTTTCCTTTCAAAGTAAGTTACTTTAAACTCTGCATATATGTAAATAAATACATCAAGAAGGCTGATTTATATACTCATTATAGCCATCCAGATTTGGCAGAATTGACCTCCCACATCACCTTGTGAGTATGATGTGAAACCTTCAGGGAAGAAGCTGGACACCACACAGGAGGGACCCGGCTTTCAGAGATGTCTGCATCCCTGTGACGGTCGGTCACAGCCCTCAGCAGCGCCCCGGCACCCACCTGAAAAAACACCTGCCATTACTATCGTGCCAGAAAAAAGTCGGGAGTTTCAGGACTGCCTTCTGCTGGAGCAGAATGACATCACTCCAGATGAACATGTAAGAGTAATTACACTTGACTTAGTAATAGGATTACCAGGATGAGTTAGAAAACGATGACAAAAGTGTGCTTTGGGCAGAAGACGTTCAGGCTGGCTATCAGGAACAGGCTCTCTTGTGCTCGTGGCACTGAGCTGACCGAGTTAATAATCATCTGCGGCACTCAGATACATGGCCTCACTTCTGGAGGGTCTCGTGTGGAGCCGGGAGTTGGAATCCACGATCCGCACGGTTCCCTTCCGACTCGAGGCATGCTGTCATTCCGTGCTCTCTCCTCTTATGCTCCACAAATTCCTGTGCGCAGCCCAGCCCTTCACACCTCACCTGCCACCGCGGGGAGCCCGCCCGGCTTCGTCCCCGCCTCTCTAACGACACCCATGGCTCTTAAGCCACCAAAACACTACTTCAAATGAGAGCCTGGAAGAGGAAGTGCGGCAAAGCGGCGAGGAAACTTGAAAGCCACTCCCCGCAGGGCAAGGGCGCGCAGCAGCCGGGCTGCGGCTCCTCAGCCCCGCACGCGCCTCACGCCCGGGCCAACGAAATCCCTTCCCTCGCCTCAGGCGCGGCACGGCGTCGGCGGCACCGCTCCGGGCGCGGCCGAGGCACCGCGCTGCCCCAGGGGCGGAGGCCGAAGCGGGCAGAGCGGGAAGGCAGGGCTGCGGAGCAGATCGAAGCGGAGCGGGGCGCGGCCGCCCGGCTCTCAGCACCTCCGGGGCGGAGCGCAGCTCAGCGGCCGCAGGTGAGCGCGAGGCCACAGCTGCACCCTGTGGGCGGAGCGCGGGGCGGGGAGCGCCGGGCCGGGTCGTGGCGGCGGGCGCTGCTGCGCCGCTCAGTTTCTGTCTCGATCTCCGCCGGGATCGTGCCCGGAACTCGGCGGCGGCTCCGCGGAGCGGTGAGTGCCTGCATCTGGATCCCGGCGCGGCGGCACCGTCCCGTTCCGCGCTCCCCGCCCCTCCCGGCGCGGTGTGAATGAGGAAGCGAGACGGGATCCGGCTTCCGTGGGGCTCCCGGCGGGGAGAGGGGCTGCGGCCGGGCCCGCCGCGAGGGGAGGGCGGCCCGGGGAGGGGCGCGGCGGCGGCGGCGGCGGCGGCGGAACTCCTCCGCGGGGCGCCTCCGTGCTGGGGCCGCGGGCCGAGCTCGGGCCCGGGAGCTTTGTCGGTTCGGGGAGCCGAGCCCCGGCGGTGCCGGGATGGGGCCGGGTCCTCCGCCAAACGCGGGATCGGGCGGGGCGGGCAGGTCCGGCGGCCGGCGCGGGGCTGTGTCCCGTGCGAGGAGATGAGAGGCGGCGAGCTCGTGTGCCCTCTGCCCTCGCTGGGACGCGGGCTCGGCTCGTTCCCGGATCGCCGAGACGGGTGACGCCAACTTCTTACTTCTTTCTTTCTTTCTTTCTTTACTTCTTTTTTTTTTTTTTTTTTTTTTTTTTTTTTTTTTCCTTCGCTTCCCGCCCGTGCGTGCCGGTGCTCAGTTTCTGTCTGTGGGCGCAGTGGGTGTGAGGCAGTAATGCTCCGTCCTCCCCACGCTCGGTTTTCGGCTGGCTGCAGGCAGACAATAGGAGCGGCGCTGCCCGCTCCCTGCGTGCATGCCGGGCGTGCACCTCTCAGAAACCCATCGTTCGGCTCGTCGCTGGGGAATTCCCCGCGCTCATTAGGGTATGAAACACCGCAGTGAGGGGTGCGTGGCTCTGCTGACCCGGCTGTGCGCTGCTGCACCCCGCAGCGGCGGAACAGACGCGCCGTGTGCCCGCGGATCTGGGCAGCTGCGGGAGCAGAGCCGAACTCGCGCAGACTGCAGGTGTGGGTGAGCAGTGCTCGCACCTTTCCTGGCCTTGTGGGTGAGTTTGAAGGCAGGACTGCAACTCCTAAACATCTCTCTGAATAGCGTGTGTCAGAATTTTGGGTGCTCTTGTGTGTCCGGCTTCTGTCAGATCTCATTTGGACCTTGGCCTCGTGTTGCACACTCCGTCTGTTAACACTGCAGTAAGCCAGGAAGCAGCCTGTCCTGCTCTCCTACCCCTCTGTCCGATAATGCTGTGCAGTGTTGTATCGATCACACAGGGAGTTTGAGCCAGCACAACCGATACAGCCTTCCGAACAAGAGATTTTGAGGAATAACCAGAAGAGCCTATATGCAGCATTTCCTATTTCTTTTTGTTCCTGAGAAGGACTGCTTTGCAGAAACTAGAGTTTATATTTAATCGCTGGACTGCCTGTTTTCAGTAACCCTGTGGCGCTGCTATGAGGATTTGGAGCAAAGAGGCTGCAATGCATGGATTAGGGTGTTTGTGGGTTTCATAACAAAGATCTGTTTTAAAAATGCAGCTCTGTGCTTTAGTTTAAGGAACGCTTAAATGCTGGCAACTTCAATTTTGATCCATGTATTTTCAGTAAATACAAAACGTTCTGCTGTTTTTTCAGCCATCTCTTTGTAAAATTGAATATAGCGAACTTGAAAAGGAGTATGCTTATCAGAACAGAACGGTCATTTAAGGAAGTGAGGTACATGCACAAGTATTTCAGTGGGCATCATTTGTGTGTTTGTATGTAATGCTGAACTTCAGAGAGTTGAGAGGTGCGATAAACAAATTTCAAGTCAGTAATACTTGGAAATTTTTACCCTACATCTCATAATTCAGACATAGGTACAAAGCCACTCAGTGACTGACATAGAGGTATAAGAACCTGTAGTGCTACATGGCTGTAATGTATGTGCAGGTGCTGAGGATGTGGTAAGGCAATTCTGTGTCCCTGAGTCTGTGATTAGGAAGATGCTGACATGGTTCTGAACAATTCTCAAGCGTTTTTTTTCCATCTGTGTTTCATGATCATGACCCTCCTGTGTAGATATGCCTGATGAGAGGTGGGTTACAGTGTTCTTATTGGGTGGAGCCGTGGAAGAATGTTACAGAACAGACGGAGCTTCTGATCACACGGCTAGTTGAAAAGGTACTGCGTGAAGAAGGAAGTATTTGTAAACTAGAAGTTATTTCTGAAGTTTTGTAGCTACTTTGGTTAAAGAGAGACCTTTAGAAGAGTCTTTCAAAGAAAACTCAATTACTTGATACTATACAGTTCAAGGAAATGTCAGTAAAACCTGGAAAGATAACATCGCTTGAAATAACTGATTTCCTGGGAGAAGTGTACAAGTTTTCAGGTCTCAGAGGCTTCTTCTAACATCTAAAGTTAGCAGAATTAAAGCTCATCTCAAATTGAGTACTTTGGGGCCTCGTAGTTACAATTCACCATCCATCCTGGTTTCTGTTGGAAGGCCTCTGGTGTCCTGTTGCTTTGCTCCTCCACCCCATGCCACGTTGCTCAGCTCTGGCTGCAGCTCCTGCCAGGAGCCCCTGCACCAGCCTGCACTCCACAGCCCAGGCACTGCCACCAGGGCTGGGACTGCAGCACAGCGAGCTTCTGTCCAGCAAACTGCAGCAGCATCTACGGCAAAGCTGCAGCAACACGAGCCTCGGTGCTGCTGTACGGTGTGAATACTTCCCATGTGTTGGCCAGCACTGAGGTGTGCTGCCAGTATTGGGTTCACTGATCCAGGTATTTAAGTTCCCCAAGGCTAACTCAGGTGTGTCTGTCGGTGCTGCAGTCAGAATGCATCGTGCATCTGTAGTCTGCCATCCTCTTCGTTAAATAAATAAAGTACATATTTAACCTACCATAAAACGAATGGAAGGAAGAAGGAATAGGCTGGAGACTGAAATGGCTATTGCATGTGAGTCAGAGCTGAATGACAGGGATGACAGGGGGTTTACCAGCAGAGTCTAAGGCTGGCTTCAGTAGGAACCTAATTCCTCATTTAATCATCCACTGATGAGAAAGGCAGTGGGGTTTTTTACTCTAGAGTTGTTCGTGGCTCCATCCTGGTTGTCAAGTTCTGGCCAACAGGTGTCTAATAAACATCAGATCTGTTTGTGTTGCAGCTGTTGTTATAGCTGCTTTCTCTGCTCCACAACAAAACTTCTCAGCCTTCTCTGACTCCTTCTTTACCTCTGTGATATGGGTGCAGAATTTGATTCTGTCAGGCTGTACATGGAATCAAAGGAATGAGCAGGGAAGGGAAGAAAACAGCGTGTTCCTGTTCAGAGCTCTTTGGGCAGTGCAGGAAAATTAATCTCCTCTCATCCACTTGACTGCGCCTTGCAAAGATACAATGAAGAGATGAGCTGTGAGAGCTCTCCGTGGCCCTGGTAGAAATAATGCTGAAGTGACTTGTGTTAAGTTCTCATTTGAAAGGCAGATATTTTTAACTGCCTCTAGGAGAGTTTTTGTGCTTTGCTGCTGAGACATTACCTCTCCAAGCCAGAGTTGCTTCATGATCTTTGTATGGTCTTTGTTGAATAACCTTGTGGAAGTCTGCTCTGCAGGAAGAAGCCTGCAGCCCTATGGGCTGCCTGGATTGAACCGACTGCCCCGGCGTCCTGCTGCTGTTCTCAGAGTCAGCAGGAAGGGTTAAGAAATGAGGGATGTGGCATAGGAGTACCAGGGACATCACAAATCCGGCCTTTGCAAGAGTGGTGTAACACATTTCTGTTCTGTTCTGGACCAGACTGCTGCTAGAAGTACCACTGATACGGACAGTGGAAACATCGTGTGTACAGCTGCATCTTTCTGATTTTCTTTTGTTCGTAGTTGCTTTTTTCTTTAATGAAAATGAATGCAAATGAAGAGAAAGGAGCCCTGCCATCCACACAGTAAGTTGCATTTTGAAACTGTTAAATTAGCTGTTTTCTGAATGATGACAGATTTGCCTGTTTCTGTCTGCGAAAAGGAAATGATGTGGGGCAGGTGTGAACCAATAGCTGCAAAACAAAGCCCGTAAAATAAATTATTTGAAGATATGTTTACAACAAAGAAAGTGTATGAAACTGCTGAGTATTTCTTACGGTATTCTCTTGGGTTTTTTTTCTGCTCTTTTTTTTTTTTTTTTTTTTTTTTTTTACTGTGGAATGTAATCTTCTATCAGGAACAACTTATGGGTGACTTCTAAAGGAGGGAGATGTGCACTTGCCATTTCCTGATGAGCGATCCTTCAGATCTGCCTAAACAATAAAAAGCAGCACCTCTTTGTATTCCCCAGAATTCTAAGGTGCTGCCCACCTGGGAGAA